TGGAGTCTCACTCTGTCGCCCAGACTGGAGTGCAGTGGCTGCTCCCGGCCACTGAAGCCTCAACTTGCTGGGCTCCGGCGATCCTTCCGCCTCAGCCTTCCAAGTAGTAAATTAACTTTTTTTTTTTAAAGGGCAGAATTAATATTAATATTTTATTTTCATTTTATAATCAGATGGCAGTTGGTTATATAGTCTCCATACTTAATACATTTTGTAAATTTAAAAAACTCCAAGTTTTTTTTTTGAGTTGGAGTCTCACTTGGTCACCCAGACTGGAGTGCAGTGGCTGCTCCCGGCCACCGCAGCCTCAGCCTGCTGGGCTCCGGCGATCCTTCTGCCTCAGCCTTCCGAGTAGCCGGAATTACAGGCGCGCGCTACCACGCCCGGCTGATTTTTTGATTTATTGTAGAGATGAGGTCTCGCTGCCCAGGCAGGTCTCGAACCCGCGGGCTCAGGCAACCCACTCACCTCAGCCTCCCAAAGGCGCGGGATTACAGGCTGAGCCACCGAGCCCGGCTCAACAAGTTTTAAATAGCCAACGGCTGGTTATGTTTTCAGAAAACATAATTAGAGTAATTCATTAATGGTGGCTTCAAGCTTTTCCTTATTAGCTCCAGAAAATTCACCCACCTTTTGTCCCTTTTTAAAAAACTGGAAGGTTGGCATACATTTGACTTCACACTCTGAAGCAACATCCTGACAGTCATCCACATCCACTTCAAGGAACACCACACTGGAATACTTTTCAGAGAGGGAATGAAAGAAAGGCTTGATCGTTTTGCAAGGTCCACGCCACGTGGCTGAGAAGTCAACTACAACAAGTTTATCACCTGCAGCTTCCAAGGCATCCTGAAAAGGGGCCTTGGTTTCGATCTGTTTCACCATTTTGGCTGTTGGGGTCTGGGGAGCGGCTGTAAGAACCGATGGAAATGGATCCTCAGCGCCGGACCGGGCTCCATAAATTAACTTTTTAAGAAACTATCAGACAGGCGCGGTGGCTCACACCTATAATCACAGCACCTTGGGAGGTTGCAGTGAAAGGACTGCCTGAGCCCACGGTTCGAGATCAGCCCCGGCAACTTGGCAAGACCTCATCTCTACAATAAATCAAAAAATAAGCCAGAGCCGGGCTCAGTGGCTCAGCCTGTAATCCCACGCCTTTGGGAGGCTGAGGTGAGTGGATTGCCTGAGCCCGCGGGTTCAAGACCCGCCTCGGCAGCAAGACCTCATCTCTACGATAAATCAAAAAATCAGCCAGGTGTAGGTAGCACATGCCTGTAATTCCAGCTACTCGGAAGGCTGAGGTGGAAGGATCGCTGGAGCCCAGCTGGTGGAGGCTGCAGTGGCCGGGAGCGACCACTGCACTCCAGCCTGGGCAACAGAGACTCCAACTCAGAGGAAAAATAAAAAGAAACTGCCAAATTATCCAAAGCGGTTCTACCGTTTTACAATCTCCCAGTACATGAGAATTCCACTTGTTCTACATCCTTACCAACACTTGGTATGGTCAGTCTATTCCATTTTAGCCATTTTTTAGAGGTGTGTAGTGGTGTCTCATGTTTGGCTTTAATTTGCATTTCCAAAATGGCTCCTGGTGCTGAACTTCTTTGTGTGTGTGTGTGTGTGTGTGTGTGTGTGTGTGTGTGTGTGTTTTTGAGTTGGAGTCTCACTCTGTCGCCCAGACTGGAGTACAGTGACATGCTCCCGACCACCGCAGCCTCGACCAGCTGGGCTCCGGCAATCCTTCCGCCTCAGCCTTCCAAGTAGCTGGAACTACAGGAGCACACTACCACACCTGGCTAATTATTTATTTAGTGTGGAGATGAGGTCTCGCTAAGGTGCCCAGGCGGGTCTTGAGCCCGCGGGCTCAGGCAATCCACTCGCCTCGGCCTCCCAAAGTGTTGGGACTCTGTCGCCCAGACTGGAGCGCAGTGGCCACTCCCAGCCACCGCAGCCTCCACTTGCTGGGCTCCGGCGATCCTTCCGCCCTCAGCCTTCCGAGTAGCCGGAATTACAGGCATGCGTTACCACGCCCAGCTGATTTTTTGATTTATTGTAGAAATGATGTCTCGCTGCCCAGGCCGGTCTCGAACCCGCGGGCTCAGGCAATCCACTCACCTCAGCCTCCCAAGGCATGGGATTACAGGCTGAGCCACCGAGCCCGGCTTATGTACTCTTGATACAAGCCTTTTTATCAGATATGTGATTTGCTAATATTTTGTACCAATCTGTGGCTTATCTCTGCATTCTCCGAAATATCAAAGAACATGTTATGGCAGAGACTACTTAGCCCTGGGCCTCGCAGATTTGTTCTTTCTTTCCATACCCAGAGCTTTTGCTGCAAACATGTTCCATAGTTCCTTGGTCAGACTAAGAATTCTATGAGCTTGATTCTTGCTATAGTCAGGGTGTTTGTATCCCCCCAAAACTCACAGGTTCTTCTGTTCTGGTTTCAGTGCATTTTATTTCTTTTGCTTGTCTCATTGCACTGGTAGAAATCTAGTACAAGGCTGAATAGAAGTGTTAAGAGCAGATATCCCTGCCTGGCTCTTAATTTTATGGTCTTCCTCCATTAAACATGTTAGATATAGATTTTCTGCAGATGGCTCTTGAAATCTTCTGACCCACGAACACAGTATATCTGAGGTGAGGAAGTTTCATGAGTTTTTTTTTTTTTAAAGCCATGAATGAATATTAGAAGTTCTCATTTTTTTCATCTATTAAGGTGTTCTTTAGTCTCAAAGATTTTTGAAGTTTAAACCCATGCATTCATTCTTTCACTGACCCTAATTAGTCATGACATATTTTTATCAGACGATTCAAATTGCTAACATTTAAGAATGTTCACACCTATGTTCATGAGAGTTATTGGTCTGCTTTTCTCCTCTTTTGCTATTTCTGTCTACTCTTAGTATCAGGGTAATGCTAGTCTCATAGGATGAGTTGGAAAGTATTATCTTGTTATGGGCTGACCACTGCATTCCCCAAAGTGCATATATTGAAATCTTTAGTATCTTGAAATGTAGTATATTTAGAGATAGGGTCTTTGAAGATTCTTTAGTTAGATGAGGTCATTAAGGTGGGCCCTAATTCAATATGACTTGTGTTCTCTCTCTCTCTCTTTTTTTTATTGAGTTAGAGTCTCACTCTGTTGCCCAGGCTGGAGTGCAGTGTCATGCTCACAGCCACCGCAGCCTCCACCTGCTGGGCTCCGGTGATCCTTCCACCTCAGCCTTCCGAGTAGCTGGAATTACAGGCTACCATGCCCAACTAATTTTTTTTTTTTAATTTATTGTAGAGATGAGGTCTCGCCTGCCCAGGCAGGTCTCGAACCCACGAGCTCAGGCAATCCACTGACCTCAGCCTCCCAAGGGCGCGGGATTACAGGCTGAACCACCGAGCCCGGCTGTGTT